GCTTCCTGTGATAACTGCTGCATTCCTTGCTGTATTTGTAAAATAGCTTGTAATGCACGAGGGTTTGTCATCATTTGTTGTACTTCTGGATTCTGCATCTATGGTGCATAAAAAAAAAAAATATGCAAGTTATTGTGGATGTCAATTATCGATAGCAGCCAGAAGACAGTAGTAATTAGTGTTGTGGATAACGATTAATGAAATGATGGCATATAATAAGATAATTTTTAAAAATATTATTTGTTAATGTCTTAATCACTCACCTGCTGTAAAAATTGTGGCATCTGTTGTGTTAGTTGCTGCTGTAACTGTGGATTTCCAGCAAACAATGGATTGTTACCAAGAATCTGAAATCACAACAAAATTAGCAAATTAGTAAAATTTATTCATTGAAAATAATTCAGATATTATTCTAGGTACAAGAATCTAAAGTAATCAGGAATAAATGATTATCAACCAGTTGTGCAACAACAAAAATGTTTGCGTTGCTCACCTTTGCATGCATCTGTTTGTAAACCTGAGCCTCAGGCCATTTTGCAAGTCTGTATTGGTAAAGTGCGCCACATATACAGTAAAATAGGTAAACCTTTGTTTTCTCTATCTTGTTGTACTTAAATAACATTAATACCAAAAACATCACTGCATCATTTTTCAATTTTCTCTAGAGGAAACAAAACGTTTTTGGCCTGTGTAGCTAAGCCTGGATTGTGTGACATGGCTTGCATCATACTTTGCATATACGAACCTGTGTGGCTAAGTCTGGATTGTGTGACATGGCTTGCATCATACTTTGCATATACTAACCAGTGTGGCTAAGTCTGGATTGTGTGACATGGCTTGCATCATACTTTGCATATACTAACCTGTGTGGCTAAGTCTAGATTGTGTGACATGGCTTGCATCATACTTTGCATATACTAACCTGTGTGGCTAAGTCTAGATTGTGTGATATGGCTTGCATCATACTTTGCATATACTAATCTGTGTGGCTAAGTCTAGATTGTGTGACATGGCTTGCATCATACTTTGCATATACTAACCTGTGTAGCTAAGTCTGGATTGTGTGACATGGCTTGCATCATACTTTGCATATACTAACCAGTGTGGCTAAGTCTAGATTGTGTGACATGGCTTGCATCATACTTTGCATATACTAATCTGTGTGGCTAAGTCTGGATTGTGCGACATGGCTTGCAACATACTTTGCATATACTAACCTGTGTGGCTAAGTCTGGATTGTGTGACATGGCTTGCATCATACTTTGCATATAAGGTGCTTGTAACATATTCTGCATCAACTGTGGATTGTCAGACATCTGCTGTATAATACTTTGCATGCCTGGTGTTCCAAACATACCACTTCCCATACCACCCCCTAGGGTATAAAATAACACAGTGTCAGTGAGTTCAGGCATTATTACACTTGTTAACCCATTTCCCAACAGAATTTGGATATTTATTGCTATATTTACATCACAGAAGCACCTAGAGGGTTGCAACTACAGGAAAGATGTATTGTAATGAAGAGTTCAACTCCATGAGAAAATGACCCAACTATACAATACCAAAAATGAAATTTTAGGCAGGTAGTGCAGTTTAAAATATTTCGAAGTTAAATTCACCAAATACAATTCAAAAGATATTCTTCAGCACGCATTGTCATACACGCTATCATCATTTTATGTCATTTGTAGCATTCTTGACACTACTAGACACATACCTGGAAATCCAGGAAATGCTGTTGGTGCTGGTTGAGTAGTTGATGTAGCAGTAGCTGTGGGCTGAGTACCACTAGCTGTTGTGGTGGTAGTGGGTGTTGTAGTGCTTGTATTTGCAGTTGTTGAGGCTAAAGGGGAAGCAGGAGAGGTTGTTGTCGCTGACGTTCTCTGAGAAGCTGGTGCCCATGGATTTGGCAAGGGATCAACATTTTCTGTGCCTTGCTGAACAGAACCTGAATCATCTGAAAATAAAGATGAATTAATCAGAAAATGTAAAATAAAGTTGCCACAGCCCAACCTTTTCAATGTAAAATAAACATTAGTCATAGTTCACAATAAAAAAAACAAACTTTTTTATCTGCAGGCAATAAAAAATTATAATCATTTGGTCTAAATTAACATAGAATCTATAGGAAAATTAAGGTTATGAGAGGGCACTCTCTACATATATACCTGCATTGGGGTTGATTAATGCTGAGAATGGGTTGGATCCTAGGCCTTCCTGAGCGGCATTCAACATAGGTTCTTGTATATCAGTATACATTCTACGTAGAGCATTATATCCACCTGGAATGCTCTGAAATGAACAGTAAACAAACTTTACTTACAAGGTGTACCATGAGTTCCTTATTTTGTATATTCTAAGACATGTATCTAATAGCACTAGTACATGTATATCTGTTTGTGGCATATAAGGAAAATAGTATTTTTAGCTGTAACAAAAAAAATCATACTACTTTCAAACAAAGTATTAATATTCTAAAAAGGTGGAATGGACACTTATTATAAATTAGTATCTTGAAGTTTTTTTCATTTATCTGCAAGAAATAAAAGTCACAGTCCTTGTCTGTGAACAAGAAATATTAAATAATCACATTTGAGAAAACAAAATTATGTCTCGTCTTTTAAGCCTACTTTTAATAACAAAAGTGGCAAAGGTATGTCTGAGAAATGGATAAAGACACAGGAAAATAAATCGCACAAAAAAATAATATGCATCAGTAATAGTATGATGTTCAACAAGTTTGAATAAAAAAGGCACATATGAGAAACGCTTGATATATTTGGTGTTTTTTGTCAGTCCAAGACAAATAATGAAAACAAATTAATAATAAGCATTATGC